ATAGTGGTTGGCATAAAGCTTTTGGACAAAAAAACAAAACATGCATAGCTCATGCTTTTCAGGGTTGAGGTTTGCAAATGGCAAAACACACACACACACACACACACACACACACACACACACACACACACACACACACACACACACCTGAGAAAATGCTGCCCTGTGAGTCAGACACACTCTCATCCTGTAATGATGATGAGTGAGAGGTTGTTTATTTGTCAGGTCGTCGGGACAAAAACAGTCGTGTCTGGCAGCATTGCAATTCCAACCACTGCTGCCTCAGCAGTTGGCCCACGGTTGCACTGTAACCTGCTCATGTGAGTCAGAGAGTGAGTGTGTGTGCGTGTGTGTGTGTGTGTGTGTGTGTGTGTTTATTAGTGTACTGTATGTGTGTGCAGTGTTTCCCCTAGGTTTAAAGCGTTGGGGGGGGACAAGCTGACATGCCGACACAGCGACACAAACACTTGAAGGAATCTTGGTGTTCATGTGTTACTTTTAATGGCAGCTGTCCTTTTCTATCGGAAAGGTATCCTTAAATGACTTCTTTGCCTGATTTTCAACTCTATCCACTATCCTATCCCTACAATAAAGGCACAAAAAGCCCAAAAATAAATCTTATAAAGGTGGGCGGGGGGGAGCTGTTTGGGGGGCCGCCCCCCTAATATAATGGTAGGGGAAACACTGGTGTGTGTGTATGGCTGTTGTAATTCCAGAAGAGTATCTAAGAGTTTCTTCAAATAAGTGAGAAAGCAGATGTTGTAAGGGGGGAAAAATTAGACAAGGGTGAAGTAAATCCACAGTCTAGTTTGCCATTTGCTAAAATTCACAGGACGTTTATTTACCTCGAGACTCACACTCAGACAGGGAAGCTTCTTTTTTCAACATACCGGTAATACGGCTGTGTTTCAGGTTTCTGTGAATATAAATGTAGGGAATCAAAAAAATAAATTTCCCCACCTGATTATCACAATTTTAAAGACCATGAAAAGATTTAAAAAAAAAAAAAACAGATTGTCCTTTTTGTTAACTTATTAGCTACCATCAAAACAGCTAATAGTCAGACACATTCATCCTGTAGGGATGATGATGAAGAGGCTATTTAGGCTATAGCTCTACATGTGTTGACATTTTATTAACTAGTTTAAATGTTAGCTCGGTACATCGTAACCTTGCCCGTATGCTAGCATGTAGATTAAGTCTGATGGTGGCTATAGAGCAGGGATGGGCAAATTTGGTCACAGCGTGGGCCACAGTCGTTTAATTCTCACTGCCTGGGGGCCAAATTGTAGAATACAAAAAAACGATTAAAGTCGATTATGTCTCAAATTTAACTCGACATATATCAGTGATCAAATATTATCATGGACATATTTCTGGTTTTCACTATTTCATGGCAGATTTCATCATGTTTTCTTCATGTTTCCAATTAATTGATATGTCAAAATTGAACCTGAGGGCCACGTTTAGGGTTGATGGGGGCCGCATGTGGCCCCCGGGCTGCCAGTTGCCCACCCCTGCTATTGAGCTATCAAATGTGTTTCAACATGAATATATATAAACAAGCTAATACTAAAGTAAGATGTTGAATTGACTGCTAACATTCATCTTGTTTTACAGGATACAGTAGAAAAAAGATTCCTAGCTTGCGATAATGAAGTGGCTTAATGCTAGCGTTAGCTGTGGTCTGACCGTAGCTAACAAATATTCCTTGATAGAAAGATACAATAGAAGAGTGGTTTTAGCTAGGAAGCATAATTGTGGTCTGATTATAGCTTCAAAGTCATCAAAGAAGTTTTAACTTTAATAGTTATGTTAGCTAGGCAGTGGTAAAAACAAACTCCATGATAGTTTTTCAGAGGCTACGGCGGAAAGAAGTGGAGAGTCGCTACTTAAAGCTGGTTCATAACAGGTTATGAAACAGACTATGTTGTTTTAGCTTGAAGTATGGCCCAGTGTCTCTCTTTATTTCTCTCTTTCGCACATTTACCTCTACGTTTATTTTATTTGCGACCTAGAAATCCACATGACAACCTGAGCGTGACATCAGAGGAAATTTGACGCCATGTGAAATGTGGTGAATGGAAGCAGCAGGTGACGGTGCGTGTAAGGAAATCTCGAAATCGGCAAGATTACCTAATTTTACCAAGCTGCTCCAACCGTCATTTTCCTCCGAAGTGCTGTAGATGCGTAGAGAGAAATGTGATTTAACATGTCTGCATCCGCATGTGTGTGCAACACTTTGCCAAAGGCTCCAGTGGCTCTGTGGAGAGAGAGGATTTAGAGCAGCATAGATCGACTCCCAATGACTGGAAGTTAAGATGAACAGGGCTGCCCTAGCCTAGACTGTGTGTGTGTGTGTGTGTGTGTGTGTGTGTGTGTGTGTGTGTGTATTTATAGCATTACTCGCTGAACTCTACCCTGCCCTGTAATAGGCTTTGTGGTTTTTTTCTATCATCCCCACTCTGATCCGGAGCCTGATCTATGCTAACATGTCACACTGACTTCATCTCCGGTTTTGACCTCTCACACACACAGAAAAACTCCCCTCCTCCCTCATTCAGACTTTTTCACTGCACACTCATGCCGTTAATGAAGAAACAAAACATGAAACTGTGCAAGCTCAGCTTTATTATTAGGTCTGAGGGACATTTGGTTTGCAGTCATGCATTAAAAGACGGATTACTGCAGCAAAAATGCAAATCAGCTGTTGTATGAATGCACAGAATATCATTTTGTATTTCACCTAATGCCTGCAAAACTAATGCCAATCACACCAGCCTACTGTTCTTTTATTTAGTGCTGATAAGTGATTGATAGCATGCCAACAAGCTAAACTCACATGGCCTGTTTATCGGGAAGTACATTGCATTAAGGGAAAAAAATTGTCATGAACATGTCAGCAGGCTGATTTAGCATCAAGCTTGATTTGAGGGTTCAACTTGCCCCAGCTGTATTCTACTCATGGAGTAATAAACACTTTTAACATTTTACATACAGAAAATATTCTAAGAACATAACTCTATATGTACACATTTTAGTTTATGTTTCTATGGCTCAATCACAAAGCTTTTAGGGTTTTGATTTTATACTGCGGTTTTAATTAGGTGGGTAATAGTTTTCCAACAATCGTCTTAATAATTTGCTTTCTCTTACACACTGATCTCTCCAAAGTGGCTAAGCTGATTTTTGCCTTTCAAACTGCCTTTGACTCGTCCATCTCCTTTTATCTTTTACAACTTTACCTTCACTCAGAATTGTAATGGACAAAGGGTCGTAACAAATGAAGGGATGACATAGAACTGCTATGGATTGCAGTGAGGTTTTAATAGCTTTAATACCGACCCGTACTTTAAAGTTAATATATTGGCACATGAACAAAAATGTAACCGACTATTTGAAACGATTAAAGGGTTATTAAAATAACTGATGACCATAATCACAGCTGTAAACAGGCTTATCGTTGTTCTAGTGATCTTAGTGATCATGTTTAAGAAAGATAATTCATTATGTCATAATGAAGTGTTAAACAGATAAAGTCTTTAAACACATAATGTAATGAAAGTAACAGACGAACACTTTAATAGTATCTAATGCCGGCAATGACTCACATACAAAACTGGACTTTCTCTCTGCAATCACATCACATGCAATATTCACACACGCACACACAAACTAACACACACACAAATTAACACACACACACAAACTAACACACTAACACAAACTAACACACAAACTAACACACACACACAAACTAACACACACACAAATTAACACACACATACAAACTAACACACACATACAAACTAACACACACATACAAACTAACACACACGCAGACAAACTAACACACACACAAATTAACACACACACACAAACTAACACACTAACACAAACTAACACACAAACTAACACACACACACACACAAATTAACACACACATACAAACTAACACACACGCAGACAAGCTAACACACACACACACAAACTAACAAATGCGCACACACACACACACACACAAACTAACACACACACACAAACTAACACACACACAAATTAACACACACATACAAACTAACACACACACAAATTAACACACACATACAAACTAACACACACGCAGACAAGCTAACACACACACACAAACTAACAAATGCGCACACACACACACACACACACACACACAAAACTAACACACACACAAATTAACACACACAAAAACACACACACACACACAAACTAACACACACACACAAATTAACACACACAAACTAACACACACACACACACACGCAGACTTACAGACACCTCTGACTTCTTCCCTTTGCACATTCTGCCGTAGTGTTCAGTGCTCATCTGCTGCTTGTGAACGTTTCTTTTGGAAGTCAAACTACTTGCCAACCAAATATACACTAACATACAGACTGAGAAGGGGGGTGGGCGGGGGGGGGGCATGCCACGTCACCATGGTAACCATACCAGACGGAGCCATTGCCATGACAGCCGGTTGGGGCACAGACGCAGCGAAAACAATTAAAGAAACCCGACTGACCTGCTCATGTTTCATGGACACTTTCCAAAAGCAGATGTTTATTTAACTCAACAGCATGACATAGTTTAATTTTAATCACTTGACACGGTGTTAACTGATGAGTGATTTATCTTTTAATGTTTTCTTTTTGGTTATGAATACAATGCCTGTTCTGTTCGATGTGGGAAGGTGCTCTGTTATAAAGCTCCTGTGAGGAGGTTTCTGATGGTTATGAAACAGACTGAAATTAATACTGATGACTCTCTTTGACCTACAAAAGCAAACAAGAAAGAAAAAAAACAAAAAAGTTGAATACTTCCATTTTGTTATTTTTGATGCAAGTGCTTTTTTGTCAGATTTTTGGTTAAAAAAGTTATTTTCCTGAGCTTCATTTCTATTTGTGTAAAAAGAGTTGATAGCTGTCATTTTTAAAATATTTTTCTGTGAAACAAAATACGAGTTGTTTTGTGCTTATCTCTATGTTTGGATCCAGGTGCAGCATCGTGTGACGGGTCAGGTGATGGCTCTGAAGATGAACATCCTGGCCAGTAACAGAGCCAACATGCTGAAAGAGGTCCAGCTCATGAACCGACTGTCACATCCAAACATACTCAGGTAAAAACACTTAAATTTGTATCCACTCAACCTGCATCTTCTTTTTGATATGAAACTTCGGCACTGACTGGATCTCGTTTGTCTGGTCCCCGTGCGAAACCTTGACTTGTTATGAAATGTAATCCTCTGTTGTTGTGTGTTTGTGCTCCGCCTGCAGGTTTATAGGAGTGTGTGTCCATGAGGGGCAGCTTCACGCTCTCACAGAGGTAAGACCCCACTTAACCTGATGCTCAAATGAAAAGTTCAAAGAGATGTTTTAAGAACCACACTTAATGACAGCACAAGTGTCAAATCAGTCAAATTAAAGTCGCCCACCGTAGCCTCGCCATCTTGGTTTGGTTTTTTTAGGACGCAAGTTTTTCTGAGACAAACTAAATGAGTCCTTCAGTAGCAGTATGAAAACGCTGTGAACTGATCAGTGGGAAAAGACTATAAGAAGAGAACATTAAACATTCACTGATGAGTGAGACATCCTGATCCCTGTTTCCCAGAACAATAAGTGAAGCATCTTTCAAATCAACAACCAAGCGATTTCAGCGTGTCAAACTCATTGAGCGTCATTTTGTGTGTCTATGTGTAATTATTAACTCCTTCCTATTGTCACTCCTCCTGATGTTTCAGTACATCAACGGCGGGAACCTGGAGCAGCTGTTGGGCAGTGACATGTATCTGTCGTGGAGCGTTCGGCTCAGTCTCGCTCTGGACATCGCCCGAGGTCTGCAGTACCTGCACAGCAAGGGCATCTTCCACAGGGACCTCACCTCCAAGGTAACCACACACACACACACACACACACACACACACACACCGGTGTACAGGACAGCACACACATCAGTAAACAGGAGCACATACTGATACTCCTCAGGGATTTCTCCACTCAATTAATGCAATTTCTGTTCATAAGATTTTGAAGCACACAATAGTGACCGGGTATTTGCTGTGACATGAACCCACCAACCCAACATGGGGTTAACTGCTTCTCTTTAAAGTACATTTTAGAAACAGTAAAAAGCTCTTAAACACATTTAAGACCTTGCAGATGCATCACAGGTCGTCCAACTACATCTGGTTATAAAAGTATTACAAAATCTCTTTCAAGCAACAATCTGTAACTCTCGCACCTTTTAAACAGTAGCTTCAAAGGATGATCTAGTACTACACTAACTTTCAACAGGGAGACCGGTGTCTCTCCCATGTCTACAGAGCACCCCAGTCACCTATTTACTGCACTATGTAACTTTGGCAGCAGCCTTCAGCTACAAAGCAGCCAGTTAGCTGGTTGGAATAAGTTTTAAAGGTGGAGTACAATGTTGTGTAAAAAAAAAAACCTCCTATGTGGCTCTTATACTCTGTTGTAGGAGAAACATGAGACAACTCTTATAAAGTCCAGTGACAAAGTATTTATTCCTCTTTATATCAAATAGAGGACACTGTGTTCACCCTCCTGCACGTTTTTAAAGGGAAATAGTGACACGCTGGAAATGATTTGCCTATTATCAAAATGATCTATGGAAATATTGTACTAGAGTGCTATTATAGCTACTACAGAGCTAGCATGTTGAGATGTCTCTTCAGAAGGAAAATGTCAGAAAAATCAACCACTAATGTTCATTTGGGATTAGATTGCATGGATTTAAGGTCTGGAACTATCAGCAGATTGTTGCTCCAGGGCTGAAAATGTATGACGTCACTTGGAAAACTTTTGTAGTAAGTAAAAGCAAAGCTTCACAGTTAACTCTTACATCACTGACGTAGAGAAGCGTATTGTAAGGAATGTTCTCACACAGACACACACACACACACACACACTTAACAGCAGTAAACAGTAAACTTGATGTGTGTGACCTTTGACCCCTGTTTGCAGAACTGCCTGGTGCGCTGGGAGGGCTGCGTGTGCTCGGGCGTGGTGGGAGACTTCGGCCTGGCTGAGAAAATCCCAGATTACAGGTCAGTCCGTAACAGTCCATTCATCGAACCTTCTATCAAAACAGTGTGATAAGATAAATCACCCTCAATAAATCACATTCCTGCACTTCTCTTTTATTTATCTTCATGTCGTATCTGCGTGAGCAAAGTGTCCACAAATGTCTCCCACAGCCTCAGTCGAGACGCTCACAGGGGACAGACATTACTCACACCAAACCCCACTCAAGTTTTTCCGACGTGTTCACACACTTTGGGGAATGATTATTAATATCACTTTAAAGTCAGGGGGAGGTTTGGTGGCTGTGTGTTGGACTCGCTGCTCTGTGGCTTCGGTCTCATTGTGTTTGCAGCTGTGTGTGTTTAATATGCAGTGACATTTATGTGGCACTTACCACCATCAATTTACTGCAGCCCTGCACAGACCATAAAGACGCAGAAAAAGTTACAGCAATGAGTTTTATTTCCTTCGGCTGTTTCTCCAGTAATTACATCACATCTGTTAGATGAACAAATTCCTGTAATAATAGCAAATCGAGGACAGAGCGCCAAGCCTGAGAAGGTAAAGTTAGGAATTAAACGCATAACTCGAGTTAAAGATGGCTGTAAAACATACCCATATATAATACATACTGTAAAGGTCACATATTATTATCCTTTTTAACAAGTTTAAATAAGTCTCAGAGCTCCCCAAAACATGTTTCTTGCTAAAAAATCCACTCTGATCCTGTATTTGATCATGCCTATAAACCCCTCTATTTCAGCCCTGCTCAGAACAGGCTGTTTTTGTGTCTGTACCTTTAAATGCAGATGAGCTGTGTCTGACCACGCCCCCTCTCTGGAAGGGGATGTAGCCTAGGCCTTTTTTCCACCATGTCCGATTGTTTATGGTGAGAAGGTAGACTCAGAGGTCAGAACAAACACCTAGCTGTGGGAGTGTCACTCACCTGGGGGAGGGGTTACTGCCCTTTGTGATGTCACAAGGGGAAAATCTCGAAACGGCCTGTATATGGCACAGATAAATGACAATATGATAGCAATCTTTACTTGTTATTACTTAAATGTTATTATAGAACAGGTGTTGGTTTAAGGAAATCTTTTTTTTTCAATATTCATAAACAAATATAAGAAATTAAAACTTGGAATTCCCAACTCCTTCAGTGCTCTTTGTTGAAAGTCTTTTAGCTTTTTTTATTGTCTAAAAATGTAGACACACGCACTCACTCGCTCACGTACGTCCCATTAGCTGCTCGTCTAGTGGAAGCATGCTATCTATTCTGCACTCATGTAGTAAACACACGAGTCTCTCTGAGACGACGCAGCTGCCACTGTAACCCAGCCTGCCCTTTTTTTTTCTGACGCGAGTGTGGGTTTCCTTTGCCCCTCTTTGCGTTAGGTCACCTCTTGTGTTTACACAAGTGCGTGTGTCATTTTCAGGAGTGGGAAACTTGTATCTCCAACTACACTTGGTTCTGTCTTTTGGAAGCGTGTCAAAATTAAAGAAAGTGAGGAAGAAATGCAGGTTACATCGTCTAGACAGAAGATAGGATTTCAATATTTGTCTTTATGTGTCTGTCATTGTGTACTTTATTAATTCCTGCCTCTATTAAACACAGTATCGTCTGTTTGCTCGACGCTCTTTTTTAAATAGCAGCTGTTGAGCTGTCACATTCAAGGGCATGTTTGCTTTTCTATTGAATTCAAACACTGTCGTCTCTTATAACAATAAGTGATATTGACAACCCTTCTTCAGCGTGTGTTTGTGTTGGAGGGACACTGTTGTGGTTGTGGCATGAAGGAAAGGAAGAGAAGAGATGAGGGGGGGGGGAGGTTTAGGAAAGAGCTCCAAATAAGGTCAAACTATTCCACTCGTTCCTCCTGTATTCGCTCTCGCAGGATCTCTCCCGTCCTTTACGTCCTCATCTCTTTTTGTGTCGCTTTAACTTTTTTCTGTTTATTTTTTCCCAGCATTCCTTTCTGCACACGCTCGGTTTACTCGTCTCTGTCATTTCAGTTTTTCAAATACTGTTTACGTGTGGAGACTCGGACCGTCTCTCGTCCCTCCTTTCTCTCTCTCTCCTGCAGCCTCTTCCTCTGCTGTGTTTTTGCAGCATCATGGCCCACAGTAGCAGATGGAAATAGCACAGAGAGGAAGTGTCTGACAGCAGGGTGTATGTTATTGTGTGTGCGTGTGTGTGTGCATGTGCATGTGTATGAGTGTGTGTGTGGCCTTAAAAAAAAAAAAAAAGGAAGGAACACTTGAATGTTAAATATTTCCCAATATCTGCGCACAACTGAAAAACACTGCGGTGTCTTGGACACAGAGGATGTGTGTACAAACATTAAACCTCTGAATAGGTTCTGTGTTTTTGAGATGGAGCGGGATGTCGGTTTGTTTCACAATCTTTGTGCAACTTGTTTATCTGCGATGATCGTTTTGTGCAGGTCTACTAAATGGAGAATGTGTTTTCTTCGTTTCTCATGCAGGACTGAGTGGACTTTGTGAAGTCTGAATTTATTTTCTTATTTTCTTTTGTGCACTGATTTAGTTGTAACTGTTGACCTTGAGTCTTTGTATTTGTTGTGTTTTTTGTTGTTGTTTTTTTTCTAAATAATATTGCCTTAACAACTATGTAAAGCTACTACACTTAAAGCGTAAGGTGACATTGACACGCTGGGTTTCTCAAAGGAATCAGGCAAAAATATCTTCAATAAACGTCACTTTAGTAAGGCTGCAACGATCGATACACCGCTAATTGTTTTGTATTGTCCAAAACCGAAATACTCTTCCATGCTTATAAACGACAGAGAAAAGCATCGAACCAC